ACCGACTCTTCGATCCCATTTTTTTTTTATATTCGAGTTGCCTCCCGGATTTAACAAAAAAAAAAAGAATTATATGGAAATCTACAACCATCACCACCACCACTGCCACCACCGCCGCCACGAAACAAGGAGAGAAAGAGAGAGACAGAAAGAGAAGAGAAAAAAAAAATTAGTGTGTGTGATAATATCAAAATTTTCAAAAATTTTTTTAATATTAAAAAAAAAACTTGTTATTATTATTATTTTTTACGTTATTAAAAATTAAAAATTTCGTGTGGGTGGGCGCTACAACCGACACGAATTTAATACTCTTAAACCCAATCGAAAAAAAAAATTTTTAATCCGTACAATAATTATCATCATCATCGCGAATTTTTATATATTAAATCAACCCAAACCTTATTTTACGTTACGTGTATAATAATTTAAAAAAACGACGGGGAGGGGAAGGGGTATTCATAATAAATAATAATAACAGTTAAAATTATAAATTTATTCTTACGTTTGTACCATTTTTTAAAAAAAATTATCATCATCATTATCATTATCATTTTTTCAAAGGAAATCATCAACGTTACGTTTATTATTATTATTATTTTTTCTTCCTTTGTCGCAAATTCAACGAATGGATTGAGGATGAATGATAATAAATAATAAAAGAAAAAAACGCGTCCGTTTGTACATCCGATCGAGAAGAGAGAAAGAGAGAGAGAAGAGGCAGAGAGATAGAGAGAGAGAGAGGATTAAAATCTCGCCTTAAAAATAGTAAAACAGTTTTTTTTTAAAAAAAGAGCGCCTTAAGGTACGACTACAACATTGAAGTTCACTATTCAAACCCATTTTAGTTATAAGACAGGTTATAAATTAGAGTAAATTCACTTTAAGTTTATACTTTACGGATATAAGTAATTAAATATATCAAATCTAAATTTATAACGTATGACTCTAATATATATATATATATATATATATATATATATATAAATATAAATTTTTAAAGTCTTTCTTTCGTCTTGGTTTAATAACCAGGCCTCGAGCAAAATTTGATTAGACTTGCTACTGAATTACTGCTTTGAATTTTCTTTAGTTCAACATTTTTTTTTTTTTAATTAAATTACCGCACTTATTTTTTTCTCAAGAGAGCAAGAGGATGATTGCTCCTTCTTTCATCCGTACCTGTGTCCACCACTACCACCACCACCACCATTAATCTTCAAGGACCAATTATACCTAAGGGGCAAGTTTTTTTTTTTTTTTTAAATTTTTTTTTTGTAACTTTTCTCTTGAATTATTATTAGAAAACTACATCTCATATTGTTTATTATCAAAAAAAAATTTATGTACGCGCGCGTTTAATAATAATAATAATAATAATAATAATAATAATAATAATATATTATGGGGAGAAATTTTTTTTTTTTTTTGCGTATGTTAAATTAATAAAATTCCAGGTTCGAAGTTATAATTCTATTTTTTTTTTTGGAATTTTTTTTTCCATAATGTCGTTTAAGGGTTAAATGGAAAAAGCGGGAATGGGGGAGAGGGTTAAAAGAAATAAATCGTATTGATTAATAATTTTTATAAAAGTTTTTTGGCGCGAAAAAAAACAGAAACGATCGCGAGTATCATCGTCGTCGTAATTAATTAAAAACAATTGAAATTTTTTTTTCAATTAAAAAAAAAATGAAACGAATAAATAAATAAATTATTAATTAATAAAATCTCACAATAATCGTGGGAAAATTTACAATAATAAATATAATAATAATAATAATAATAATTTCTTTTAAAAAAAAAAAAAACAATGAAAGAAACCGGCGCGACTTTCCTCCTATTATTTTTACATACGTGGAAATGAAATTTAATATTAATAATTATCATTATTATTATTATTATTATTTCAATAATAATGAATATTATTATTAATAATAATAATAAGTTTGAGAAACTTTCCATTTTATTAATAAATAATTATTTAATCAAATAAGTAAAAGTGAAGAAAAAAAAAAAAGAAAAAAAAATTTTCACTTTCGTGACTTTATTTTAATGATTCAAATTTAATTTAATCAATCAATCGAAAAAATTTATTTATTTATTTATTTATT